GGTGCTCGGCAAGTGTGGTCGGGTGCTAGTCATGGCCCTTCAGTTTGGGTCGTGACAATAACTTAAATCGTACCATCACAATTTTAAATTCTAGTAGCTAGAAGGCCATTACGATCCAAATTGGCTAATTTGAGTGTTATTTGTACGTCATGTCCTTTTATAATTTTAAAATTAAGAAAATAATATATTTAAATATTTTATGTGTAAGAGATAAATTTCTTATTATATTCTTATTATTCCACGCTAACTTCACTTGCCCTTAAGATTTGGTAACACCCTTGACACGTAACTCCTCTTACACTCGTAAAAAAAAAACCATGTCAAAAAAGTCCTTAAAAAACCATAAATTAATAATTTAATGAAAAAAGAGTAACACAACAAGGATATTAGAAGACAAAAGGTACAGTAAGCATTGCATACCTAAGGCTAAGACTTAATGAGACCCCATTAACCAATCACATTTCTCCATATTCTCCCCATACCTATCTCTCTTGCCACGTGGCATCTCTTCCACCATAAAATACAATTTTCTTCCACATTATAAATTTCATATAGGAAAACATATAAATAATATTCCCATTTTATCTCCGCCATTACTTCCTCCTTCTTCCTCCAAAGCTCCGAGTCTATTCAGTAAAGCTATGGCAACTCAGTTCTAGAATATTCCATAAGTCAGTTTCTATATCTATTTCTTTCCTTGCATGCACATACAGTACACAAATGGCGAGTATTTCAGCTACACTTTCCACTGCAACTCTACCAGAGCTCAAATTTCTGTGTTCAAATTCAGCTTCTAGAAGCTTCCGCGTACCGCTCTCTAGGTTTTCATCGCGTCGGCGGAGTTTGATTCGAATTAAGGCGGTGAAGAGAGAAGAGAGTGCGGTGGTGGAAGAGAGGGATGCGGAATTGGTGAGGAAAGTGAACGGTAGTGTGAATGGAAGTGTGAAGAAGATCGATGATTTGAACGGTGCATTGTTAGTGGAGAAGTACACGAATGGTAGTGCAGGTGTGAGTGAGAGTGAAAATGAGAATTTGATGAAGTATGTGAATGGGAATGGGCATGGGAATGGTGTAGCGGCGAAGAGTAGGGACGAGATTGTGGAGGTGAAGGCGGAAGAGGTGGTTGAGAAGAAGGAGAAGAAGAAAAGTGTAGAGGAGATTGGACAAGAAGACGCTTGGTTTAAGAAGAACGATCAAGTTCAGGTATATATGTTAGCTATTTTTGGTTATACTTTTACTAGCATTTAATTTTTTCAAATGTTGTTGATTTAGACAGTCACATGACACAAGAGGGGGTGGATTGAGGTCGTTACTAATTTTGGCGCTCCCTCAAATTTTAACTAAAGATTTCTAACCTGCTGCGACTGTTACGATGGTCCTGCTTTAGTGCTTTAGTTATGTTTTTATGTGAATAATGTTGACAGCGGCGTTGAAATAGTTTGATACTGTGAATCCAAAGCATTTTGGGGTTGAGGCATAGTTGATTGACACTGATTGGTTTTATGTGAATGATCAAGTGGAGGGGTGTGTGTCTGTGCATGTTTCACTAGTGTGGTTATTGTTCTAGAAAATTTCTACTTTTAGTATCTATTGTTTTATTTAAGTGCATAGCGATGTTAATCCCAAATTTATTTGGGGTGGCTGGCAGTGATGGTTGCTACAATCAGAATGACTTGTATGTATAGTGAAGCTTTTTTGTTTGAAGGTAGTCAATGACTGTTAGCTAAATCGAGTATTACTTAAAATTAGTTGACCCTCATTTCCCTATTTACACAATGAGGTTTGGTTTAATCGGTGTCATATTTGATCAACACAACAACAACTGCACAACAATCTCAAACTTGTTTTCTTTTCTTGATATAGTTCAAGCCCGAACTAGTTGGGGTGGCTAATATTGCTGAACTAACTGTTGTATAGATATGGCATCAGAATGAGGATGACTTAGGAAAGGAAAATGTAGCTATATTTGGTTGTATTGAAAGGAAGAATAATAAGAGAATAAGACGGTGGTGTCATAGAGTTGTTATACTTTGCATGGGGATGCATGGACTTAATACTAGTGCCATGTGTGATGGTTCCTGTTGTTGTGCTCTATCATCAGTATCTCATAGCGACAAAGGCCAATTCTATGTTCTCACTTTGTCTAATCTTTTGAAGACGAGAATTATAACACATGGCCGAAAATGTTTCTTACTGGCCTTTTGGATGAAATAGTGAGCTTCTCTTATTAGAGGTATAAGATGAAGATCGTCCTGGCTGTGAGTTGACAAGTTATTGGACTGGTTATATTAAGATTATGGCTAACCAGGTCACTATATCAACCTCACATCTATTCACTTGCTGTAATGGGAAATATACCGAGAACATGATGCAGGAGGGGATTCAAAATTAGACCAGAAAGGGTTTGGAGACTCTGGTTTACACAATGAGTATTAGATCTGTTGGTTGCAGTTGGAAAGAAACTAAATGATAAAGCAGGATTTCAAATGTTTATATACAATATTGCAATTTACAGCTTAGCCTCTGTGCTTTATGGGTTCTTGTGATCTCTGTTTTATTTTTGGATGGAAGCCAGATTGTTTGACAATGCTGAATGGTTTTTGCAGGTTTCTGTCCGGCCTGGAGGCCGTTGGAACAGATTCAAAACATATTCAACAATTCAAAGGACTTTGGAGATATGGGGATCTGTTTTCACTTTTCTATTTAGGGCTTGGCTGAATAATCAAAAGTTCTCTTATCGAGGTTGGTCAATGAGATAACCCAAATTTCACAATAGCTAAAGACAGGATGATGAAAAAACCATAATTTTGCTATATTGACAAGAAAATACTCTGCTTTTTGGCACCTGTTTCAACAAGAAACAGTAAGGAATATGGCATAATGCTACTTTATGAAAAAACAGAAAACTACTCAAAGTTCACTTCAACTGATCTACATGAATAGCACTTTAGCGTTTCATTTTTTCTGCTTCCTCACTGAACTTTTCCCTACATTGAAGTGAAGATATTGGGATCCACAAACTGATGGACAGAAGATATTACCAAACTGATTCTAAAAGTAGAAATTTTCCCTACATTGAACATATTGGGATCCACAAACTAAGCTTTTCACAGACTATGGACAGAAAATGATTACCATGACACCTAAAGAATCTACTTGCCACTGTGCCCGTCATTTTTTCCCTTTATACTTAATTTTGATCTCTTTTCCTCAAACTCCACGATGATAACCTATCTATAATTGTTGATATACTTATTACACCTTCAGAAAGTCAATAATTGCCACCCCAATCTGATATGCTCAGTGATTCAACATAATCCTTTACAAATTGAATAGAAGAAAATTACCTCGCAAAGAGCTGTTGTGTTTTATTTTCAAATCTCTTGGAGATTTGACATAAAACTAAAAACAAATTGTAATTGGCCACAAAATCAATGGCTCAGTAATAATATGAAAAAGCATATTTTACGGTAACTAATACAAGGAGCTGTCTGATGCAGGTGGAATGACAGAGGCGAAAAAAGCTGAGCGGAGAAAGGTCCTCGCTAGGTGGTTAAAAGAAACTATTTTGAGATTAGGTCCTACTTTTATCAAGATTGGCCAGCAATTCTCAACAAGGGTGGATATTCTTGCTCAGGAGTATGTTGATCAGTTGTCTGAGCTTCAGGTTGGTGATGCCCTGCTCAAATTACCGTATGTTTAATCCTCTACTACACACATTTACCACAATTTGATATCTTCAATAAAGTTTGAAGATTGAGGTGTACTTGTTGTTATTTAAGTTTGAAGACATGTTTTGCTCAGTTTTTATAAGCTGGGCATCTTGCCTCATCATCAGAAATTGGTACCAAAATGAACAGTTCTGTCATATATATAGCTTGTTATTTACTTTTGCCAATCCAAATATGGTTTATTTTCCTGTTGTTTACTATTTTCTTGAGATGATTTATAATTTCTCAAGCTCGGGCATTGCTCATATGTTCCTCCTCAGAGATCTTGCAATATTTCGAATAACAGAGACTAGCAATGCATGGAAGCTTGACAGATTACTAGCAACAAAAATTACCTGTGTGCAAGAAACCTGACTCAAATATACATTGCACTAGTTTACAGAATGTGATAAAGAGGAAGACTAGGCACGTTGTTGGAGTATAAGATCCCTAGACAAATCGTTAAATATGTAATACTTGAGATGATATCAACATAAAAATAAATCAATTATGCTGCTGAAATCCATAGTCCCTGAGATGGGATATACTAACTTTGAAGTATATTATATTCTGAAAGCATATTAACCTTACTTCTAAAGTTAGCCTATATAACTAGCAACACATGCTGTGCGGTAGATTGATTTTCACCTGGATGCAGCATGCTTGATTGCTGATCTTTATCTTTTTGCAGTGTACCTTCCCTTTGTTTCCTCTTGAGATTTCTATTATTTTTCTGTCATTTCCTGTTGCTTTGCAACATATTTTATTCTTTTTCTTATAAATAGTTAATTTTCCCTGCATTATTTACTTGCAAGGCTAATTTCTGTCTGTTTAGGATCAAGTTCCTCCTTTCCCATCGGAAACTGCTGTATCAATAGTTGAAGAAGAACTTGGGGGCCCATTGGGTGATGTATTTGAAAGATTTGACCGTGAACCAATAGCTGCTGCAAGTCTTGGTAATGTTTGTGATTGTGTTATGGAAATGTATCCTTCATTCTACCAATCATTGTTCAATGTATTACAAGATAAAATATTAAAACGCTGATATATTATAATGCAGGTCAGGTGCATCGTGCAAGATTGAATGGGCAGGAAGTAGTTGTAAAAGTACAGAGGCCCGGTCTTAAGGATCTTTTTGATATCGATCTTAAAAACCTGAGGGTCAGTTTCAGATAACTTAAATGTATCTTTACATTTAACCCTTGGTTCTTTTGTGTAATTGTTTCGCTATGATATAAATTATAATCATATCTTCATTGACTGCATAGATAGAGCCCATTTTCTCTGATTTTTCTTCGTAGACTTTCCCCATCTAACTTCCATACTTTTGTCGGAGTAAGTCTCACTTCAAGTCATTTATCCATATGCTTGGTGCTATGACCTAGTTTTCATGATGAAATAAGACACCCCTCCAGGATATTCTGCACTTAACACTCGCACGAGCGGTGGCTTTTATTCATGGATATGATCACTGTTACTTCTAAGTTTCAAAAAATAAGTTATTCATTTTGACATACCTTCTTTTTACATGACATATTTCTTGCAGGTGATAGCTGAATATCTGCAGAAAATAGATCCTAAATCTGATGGTGCAAAAAGAGACTGGGTTGCAATCTATGATGAATGTGCAAGTGTCTTGTATCAGGTATTTTGTCAATTAATCATTTCTTTATAACTAAGTGAGCATGCATGTCAGTTAGCATCATGAATTCATTAATACTTTGTAAAAGGACTTCAAGATTCATTCTTCTTTCCTACTTATCTTTGATTCTTTTTGCATTTTGGAGTCTCATTGGCTTGCCATTTTTGTTTGTACAAGTTCCATTGCAAAGACATATATCTAGTGGTGAGGTCTGCCAAAAATAAGTTTTCATGGGAAAAGCTTTTCTGGTTGACTGACTTCAGAGTTTTAATTATTTCTGAATCAGCATCCTTCTCAAAAAAATTAATTCTGAATCAGCATCATCTGTTCAAGAAATTTAAATTTATTGGTCGTTAACACGAAAAAAGGTATTGGTATGTTAAGAAAAAAGGGTATTGGGATGTCATGTCTCATCAGTAGGTTTTCATTTACCAATTAGAGTTCAGGGCTTAAACGATGACAACTGGTCATCAAGGAACTCTGTATTTTATGGCTTTGTATCAACTGGCAATCTTGAATTGAAGTAGTTTATAAGTTTCTCTAGTGATTGACTGACCTGCATTCTGGTGCTATTATTTTATTTGATATTTAATTCAATAGTCAAATGCTGCTGAATCTTTTCCAGGATCAATGTGTTGCTGTCTTACTTGATTAATCTTTCAAGCTGTAAGTTTTTCTAATAAGAGATGTTATTTTATGAGTTTTGCAGGAGATTGATTACACTAAGGAAGCTGCTAACGCTGAACTGTTTGCAAGTAACTTCAAGAACATGGATTATGTGAAAGTCCCAACGATATACTGGGAATATACCACACCACAGGTTCAAACAATCAGTAATCATGATCTATGTTGCGCGGACTCTTCAAAATGTTGCCGCACCCGTGTCGGATTCTCTAAAAATACACTACTTTTGGAGTATCCGACACGCACCCAGCGACATTTTCGGAGAGTCCGAGCAACATAGATCATGATGGTTTAACTTATTAACATTGAATTCTTTCCATACCCCATTTTACTTGAATGATATTTTTCATTGCTTTCAGGTTTTGACAATGGAGTATGTCCCAGGCATTAAAATAAACAGGATACAAGCCTTAGATCAATTGGGTGTTGATAGGAAAAGGTCAGCTCAAAGTTATGCTATTCAATTTGTAGAAATTTGTAAATTTACCCATATCCTTCAATTTTGTCCATGTACTGGTGCTGTAACCGTGTCAGAGATACATGTTGCTTCACAGGAAGTACGCAAAAATTGGATGTGTTTTGTCAATTCATTCTTGTATCTCTGATAGCAACATTGAGCAGGTACTAAGTAGTTATTATAGGGCTGAAAATATATTCATTTGCACTTCTCCTGATTGTTGATCAGGTTAGGGAGGTATGCGGTTGAATCCTATCTGGAGCAGATCCTGTCTCATGGCTTTTTCCATGCTGATCCAGTAAGATTTCTTACTGACATTCATAGTTCTTCTGCTCTAGTATGACTTACAATTCATACTGTGACAAACAAAGTATGGAAGAATCAAAGTTGGTATCTTATTCCATGAAGTGATACATATATATACATGTACGTAGGATCCTAACTATGGAAAGAAGTAAAAGGAAAATCCTAAAATCTGCTATCAAATCTCAATACTTATTCTATCTATGTATAGTACAAGTAATCTGTCTACATTCATTCTTTATGTCTACATTCATTCTTTAACACTCCCCCTCAAGCTGGAGCATAGATATTAATCATGCCCAGCTTGTTGCAAAGATAATTAACTCGAGTTCCATTTAATGCCTTTGTGAATACATCAGCCAATTGATCTCCTGTCTTCACGTAACTAGTAGAAATCAAGTTTTCCTGAATCTTCTCACGAATAAAGTGACAGTCAACTTCAATATGTTTTGTCCTTTCATGATACACCGGATTTGAGGTGATATGAAGAGTGGCTTGATTATCACACCAAAGTTTTGCTGGTGTAGTATGCTTTATCCCAATTTCCGTGAGAAGGTGATGTATCCACATAACCTCACACGTAGTCTGTGCCATAGCCCTGTATTCGGATTTTGCACTGGATCGAGATACAACATTTTGTTTCTTACTTCTCCATGATACCAGGTTTCCACCCACAAAGACACAATAGCCGGTAGTAGACCTTCTATCAATTTTGGATCCAACCCAATCCGCATCTGCAAAACACTCAATGTGAGATTGCCCACGATTGCTGTATAATATGCCAAGTCCAGGGGCTCCTTTTAAGTAACATAGAATCTGTTCCAGTGCTGCCCAATGTTTGACCATAGGAGCGGACATAAACTGGTTAACAACACTTACAGCAAAAGCAATATCTGGACGAGTCACAGTGAGATAGTTTAATCTCCCAACTAACCTCCTGTATCTACCTGGATCATTAAATGGATCGCCATCATCTTTCATAAGATGCAAATTAGGAACCACTGGAGTACTGCAAGGCTTGGCAGCCAACTTACCAGTTTCTGCCAGTAAGTCAAGAATATACTTTCTCTGAGATAGAAAAATCCCCTTCTTGCATCTATTTACTTCTACTCCCAAGAAATATTTCAGTTGTCCCAAGTCTTTCGTATGAAACTTAGTATGCAAGAAAGACTTGAGAGAAGAGATTCCTGCATAATCACTTCCGGTAATAACAATGTCATCAACATATACAACCAGGAGAATAGATCCAGCTGTTGATTGCCTGTAGAAGACTGAATGATCACATTTGCTCTTTTTCAGCCCAAATTCTTGAACTACCTCACTAAATTTTCCAAACCAAGCCCGGGGACTCTGCTTCAAGCCATACAAGGACTTCTTCAAATGACAGATCTTCCCGTACTCCCCCTGAGCAACAAAACCAGGTGGTTGCTCCATATACACCTCTTCATGAAGATCACCATGAAAAAAGGCATTCTTAATGTCCAATTGATGCAAAGGCAAATTCTCAGAAGCTGCTAGAGAAATGAACAAGCGGACAGAAGTAAGTTTGGCAACCGGAGAGAAGGTGTCAGAATAATCTACTCCATAAGTCTGAGCATACCCTTTGGCTATAAGTCTGGCCTTAAGTGTCGCTACAGAACCATCTGTCTGGCCTTAAGTCTCGCTACAGAACCATCTGGATTAACTTTGACCGTGAAGACCCATTTGCATCCCACTGCTTTCTTTCCACTAGGTAAATTCACTAAATCCCAAGTATGGTTTTCCTCGAAGGCATGTATTTCCTCAAGCATGGCTTCAGACCATCAAGGATGATTCAAAGCCTCTTTCACTATTTTGGGTATAGAAATGGAGTCTAGAGACGCAATCAAAGATCTAGACGCAGGGGATAAGTGATCGTAGGAAACAAAATTAGCAATAGAATATGTGGATTTGCAAGTACGTGTTCCTTTGCGTAAAGCAATAGGAAGGTCAAGGTCTTCTGGAGGATCAGGCGGAAGAGGATCAGATGACGAAGGAACTGATGCAGGACCTGTATCATTTGTTTCTCGCCTCCGCGAGTAAACTTGAACAATTGGTGTTCTTGCTAACACAGTTGGAGCAGGTGCTGAAGGCAGAATAGTTTGGTGCTCGATAGAAGGCAAGAGATGGAGAAACATCATCTGATTGTTCTGTCAAAGTACGGGTAACCTGATATACTAGCCACTCATCTTCCTCCCCCTGACTTGTAGAGATGGGAGGTGCATAAAAGAATGGTATAGTCTCTGAAAACACTACATCAGTTGACACTAGATATTTGCCAAGTTCAGTAGAATAACACCGATACCCCTTCTGAAGGCGAGAATAACTAAGAAAAACACACTTCAATGCCTTGGGATCCAGCTTGGTAATAGATGGTCGAACATCTCGAACATAAACATGTGCTTCCAAACACCTTAGGTTCCACGGGAAATAATGACTTGTTTGGAAAAAGAACACTGTAAGGCATATTGCCACCAAGAACAGTAGATGGCATGCGTTAATACAAAAGCAAGCCGTGGAGACCGCATCAACCCAGAACTGTTTAGGAACCTTCATTTGGAACAAAAGTGCCCGAGCTGTCTCAAGTAGATGCCTATTCTTCCTCTCAGCAACTCCATTTTGAGAGGGTGTATCAACATATGTAGTACACCATGTTGTCTCATGTAGGACTGAAATAACTCTGACATGTATTCTTTAGTGTTATCACTCCTTAGAATATGCACTGAAGCATTGAATTGAGTTTTGACTTCAGCACAGAAGGCAGAAAAGTGAGTAAACACTTTAGAGCGACTCTTCATAAAGTAAATCCAAGTCATCCGGGAAAAATCATCTACAAAAGTGACAAAATACTTATGCCCAGTTTTAAAAACAACAGGACACGGTCCCCAAACATCAGAATGAACTGACTCAAAAGCTGACTCGGCTTGCTTATTAACCCTTGGACCTAACGAGATGCGATGATATTTTGCAAATCGACATGACTCACAATCCAATGAAGAAATATTTTGAAATTGAGGACAGAGCTTCTTCAACAAAGGCAGAGAGGGATGCCCCAATCGACAATGTGCTTCAAAAGGAGACACGATACTGGAGCATGCAATAGACTGTGGCTCCCATTCATCAAGGATATAGAGATCATTAGATAAATATCCTTTACCAATAATCTGTTTCATCATAAGATCTAGAAACAAATAATGATTGGGAAAGAACGCTACACAACAATTAAGGTCTAGTGATTTTACTAACAGAAATCAAATTAAAGGCCAAGTTTGGTAGACTTAATACAGATGACAGGGTAATAGAGGAAGTTGGTTTAAAAGTCCCAGATTCAACACTGCTACAAGTTGTTCCATCAGCTACAGTAACTGAAGAGGGTGCCTTGTGTGATCGAAAGCTAGAAAAAACATTCGGATTACCTGTCATGTGATTTGTGGCACCAGAATCAATCACCCATTTATTTGAAAAGGTGATAAGACATGTCTTATCTGACCCAGCAAAAGCAGTAACTGAAAAAGATTCCTTCATTGATTTATAATATTGAAGGAACTTAAGAAACTCATCTGAGACCAAGATTGCTGGACTAAGAATTGCAACACTATTTCTTCCTTGCTTACTGTATATAGTCATTCTAATAAAACTCACGAAATATATTCAAGAAGAGATTAACTAAGTTCCAAGCAGATAGCCAATAAAGATATACTCCACTAGAAATATGACCAAACCAAAGAACCAATGATGCACCAACAAATCACACAAACCGGTAATATACTCCACCAGGAAATATAACTAAGAATAATGAAGTATATTCCACCACTAAAAGAACCTTGCTCCAACTTAGGAGTAGGGGCTCTAGAGCTTTTTCCGCAGGCTGCTATGCTAGAATTCCACGAACAGGTTTAGAGTAGTCAATTCAAGACTTATAGTAGGACTTTCTCTACTGGGGAGCTTTCGACCTTTCTTTCTTCCTTTGGAAATAGGGAAGTTAGAAGGGATGTCTTGGAAGGGACAATAAGAAATACTAGATTATCTTCAGATTCCAATAGGTAGGTAGCTGCGAAGGACCAAATCAAGATGGAAGGAACAAAGTTAGATGGAAATTAATAACCTGGGACTTTCAGATGAGACTGTTAATGAGCAACACTTCTGGGAGCAAGAAAGCCTTCTCAAATTGTGGTCAGTCGAGTAGAAACCACCAGACACACACTGAAAATAATGATGTGACCTAGGAACAATGAACCAAGTCTCCAACCGATCTCTCACGCACCCTCACGCGCCGTCGAGACAGATTATGTCAAAATTCCTCGGCCGGTGCGTGGGCTTCACAAACAATGAATCCGATCACCAGATTCTGGAAACATATATATCAAAAGGATTGATGGTGAGTTACTTCGCCAGACCAAAAGACTCTCCTAAAACCGGTCAAGTTCCAGTGACACCGTTTATTTCTCGGCCGGATTTCAAACTTAACACCGGCTCTGATATCATGTGACAAACAAGGTATGGAAGAATCAAAGTTGGTATCTTATTCCATGAAGTGATACATGTATATACATGTACATAGGATCCTAACTATGGAAAGAAGTAAAAGGAAAATCCTAAAAATCTGCTATCAAATCTCAATACTTATTCTATTTATGTATAGTACAAGTAATCTGTCTACATTAATTCTTTATGTCTACATTCATTCTTTAACACATACTTTGTAACCGAATAACAACGTACAATAGATCTCTCCGTCTGAGATATTCAATGAACTGGTATATGAATTTTCCTCCTTCCTTTGTTTTCCTTCTACCTGTCATTTAATTTGCATCCTCATTGTTTACCTGGTTGCATCACCATGTTTGATTCCTTCTAACTGATAAGAAAATGGACCTTGGGCCAAACTCAACCCCAAAAATTAGTTCATGAGGTGAGGATTGCCCAAGATTATATAATGAGACCAATTACTCCATTAACCACCAATGTGGGAAATCTAACGCCCACAACACGTCCAGGACCAAACATCTGGAACGTGGACAATATGGGGCCCAACATCGGGTAAACCAAGAATTGGGATGTGTTTGTCTCTGATGCCATGATAAGAAAATGGATCTTGGGCCTAACTCGATCCCAAAAGCTAGGTCAGGAGGTGAAGATTGTCCAAGACCGTATAAGGAGACTAATTACTCCATCCACCACTGATGTGGGAAATCTAACACTAACCATTCAACTCCCGAGCGGTATAAACTGCAAATGGAAGCTTGTGTTGATCGATGGAGGAAAGTTATTTCGTTAACTCTTGGTAATTACCACATTCACTAGGATAGGACCAAGTAACTAATTTAGAGAGATACCTTTGGAGCTTCACCTTCCAACGACATCACCAACCAATTAGTATTTGTTGAACACAAAATTAAGTAATTAAAAGGGCGTTCTCTCTAACAACTTAAGCTTTTTCATGAGATGGTCACACTTTTCTTAACATGGTATTTAGAGCAGATAGAGGTCTTGGTTTAGAAGGAATTTCCACGTGCTTGACTTATGAAAGAGAATCATGCCTGCACGTGAGGGGGCATGTTGAAGACATAATTAAGCAATCAAACGTGTGCTTTCTCATACAACTTAAGCTTTTAGATGAGATGGTCACACACTTCAACAATATTTTAAGATGTTGATGTATTTACTCATTTATAAGTTGAACATTGTTTTCATCTTACTACTTATCTTACCCTTATTCTCATATATGTGAAGTGTCGAAATGAAGGTTTCTCAAAGAAAGTTGGTGTTTATTTAATTTTCATGCAGCATCCTGGAAATATAGCTGTGGATGATGTCAATGGCGGAAGGCTGATCTTTTATGATTTTGGAATGATGGGAAGGTATATAGTTGAACCTTTTCATCTGAGAAATATAAATAACTCTGAAGTTCTCCAACCTAAAACTTGTCAGTTCTCACTTACTCTAGCATGTTGCAGCATAAGTCCTAATATTAGAGAAGGATTGCTGGAAACATTCTATGGAGTTTATGAGAAAGATCCAGATAAGGTGATCACACTTAAAGTTCCTAGGGTTGCTATTTCTTTCTTTTATTGTTCTGTCACTGTTCTACCTACCCGCATAAATGCTTGGCTAAAGATCACTTTGAAATGCAGGTCGTGCAAGCAGCGATTCAAATGGGTGTTCTGGTGCCTACTGGTGACATGACTGCTGTCAGACGAACTGCACAGTTTTTCCTTAACAGGTACTTGCCCGCATCATATCTGTCAACTTTAATATTGTTAAAAGTGAAATTGAATGTTGAGACTGCCAAAATTAAGCCCATTGTCGGCAGAATTTAAATTACTAATCAGTTCGTCCTTTATAGTAACACCTGAGATTGTGGGCTGATGTCCATGATGTGGTTTGGGGTGTGTGAATATTTGTTTAGGCTCTGCTCTCGTATACATTAATGAAGTGTAAAGTTTGTTTGCAAACTGGTGAATTAGAATCCATGAGAAGTGTTTGTTTCGGCAAAGGGATTTTTCCCTTTTTCTTTTTCCTCTCTTTACCTTTATCTCTTTTTCTTAATCAGTTATTATCTTGGATTATGTGTTGTACATCAACTTGTTAGCCCCCCTAAATATTTGTGTTCAAGATGTGACTAATAGATATACTCGGAGGAACTTTCCTTCTTCGGGTAAAAAATTTGGTCCATCTTCGATAAAATTTTCAACAGGTAGGTTATGAGAGATGGATCGTTCTATTTTTGACAAGTAATAAGATTTTATCAACAAAATGATGAAGCCTGTATACTAGAGGTATACACCGATCAACTATAGGGCAAGCATTCCCTCCTACAAAGTGCCAACCTGTATTTATACAAATAGGAATCTCTTATATGATGCAACAAAGTGCAAACGGAAACTAGCTTGAACGAAAAGGCCTTCTCCGATCTTTGGAAAGCCCATCGGTTTCTTTTGCACTATATACTCCACATCGCAGCTTGTGGTTTTATATTCCATGTTCGTTTTCTTTGATCCTTTCTGCCTCTCAATTTTCAACTTGAGAAGCTCCTTAAGAGTTGTGGGCATTTCCAACCTACCTTTGAACAACCTGTTGGAAGAGATTCCACTACCTCGTAGTCATTTTGCAGTGGATGGGCAGGTGGCTAACATCCACTCCTGCTCCTTTACACAAGAAACACCAGCTAATGTGAATCTTTCTTTTCCGCATGTGTATTGGCTTCTTCGGAGTTCGCTATTCACTTGATACATCATTTCAAACGAACTTGACATGTAGTAGATGATTTCCCTTTTTTCCCATTTCTTCTATTATCTTTCTGTTCCCCTCCATTCAGCTAAAGTATGTTAAAGTTTAGGTCCTTTACTGCAAAAAGTGTCAATTTGACTCTCATTTCATGGCTAACTGTGACCAAAACCTAAGCTACATTGATTGAGTTATTTTAGACTTTCTATTCACAAGGTGCTTTGTAATGTGCATCATCATTCACATGATTTACAACATTTGGACCGAACTTGAAATGTAGTAAATCCTTTCCCCTTTTTCCCCTCAGTTCTTCTATTATCTTTCTGTTTCCCTCCAATCAGCTAAAGTGTGTCGAATTTCAGGTCCTTTACTGCAAAAATGTCATTTTGACTCTCATTTCATGGCTAACTGTGACTAAAACCTAAGCTACATTGATTCTGAGCTATTTTGGACCTTGATGAATAATAACTCCTCCTGTAAGTGTTTAAATTGATTGAAGCTTAACAGTTGAAATTTTGCAGCTTTGAAGAGCGCCTTGCAGCACAAAGAAAGGAGAGAGAAATGGCACAAGCAGAACTTGGGTTCAAAAAGCCATTAAGCAAGGAGGAACAAATGGAGAAAAAGAAGCAACGGTTGGCTGCAATTGGTAATTCACTTGTCGTATCTTCCTTGTCTGGTCTACGTATCAAACTTTTTTGTGTTAGCTTGTTCTATTCCTTTGTCCTCTTTACTTCGGTGCGTTCTGGGGGGTTTTCAGGGGAACGAAAAAAACCAACGTGTTTTTACTGCTTGGTCCCCACCCTTTCCCAACCCCAACTCCCCCCGGGCCATAAGAGGTAAAAGGCAAAGAGAAGGAACAAGTAAAATTAGAAGATATATTCAGATGCTAGTTAGCTATTCACTTTGCTCATAGCCTTTCATACTTTTTATTCACAAACAGGTGAAGATCTATTAAGCATTGCAGCAGATCAGCCATTCCGGTTTCCTGCCACATTCACTTTTGTGGTTAGAGCATTTTCAGGTACTTCCGTCCCAGCTTACCGTTCCTTATAATTGTACTGCTTATGGCGTTCAACTTCTTATAACAGAAACTGTTATTATTATCAGTTCTGGATGGCATTGGAAAGGGTCTTGATCCACGATTTGATATCACTGAGATTGCCAAACCGTGAGTACAGCACGATACAGAACTTTTTTTTTTTGAGTGGGATTTTACTGGGTATGTTGTTGTTGTTGTTTTGTTTTGTAATTTTTCTCTCCTTTTCTAACATAAAATTTTACGCTGCTATATAGCTATGCTCTAGAGTTGCTTAGGTTTCGTGAAGCTGGTGTTGAAGTTGTGCTAAAGGTAAACCTAATAAAAGTTCGAAACTATATGCAAGTTTTGTTTTTCATATTGTGCTTAAGTTTTAATGATTTATCTTTCTGACTTCCAGGACTTCAGGAACAGATGGGATAGACAATCTCGTGCATTTTACAACTTGTTCAGGCAGGCTGATAGAGTTGAGAGACTTGCTGAAATCATCCAGCGATTGGTAGATATCATGCAATATTTTAGAATTAAATTAAAATTTGATCACAGATCCATATTTTTTCAGTCTAGTATTTTATCCATTTATATCTTATTCTGATATCCTTACAGGAGCAAGGTGATCTTAAGCTTCGGGTTAGAGCTTTAGAATCTGAAAGGGCTTTCCAACGTGTTGCAGCTGTCCAGAAAACAATTGGAAGTGTAAGTTGTCATACACTCTGGTACAGTTTTCAAATTAATTTTCATGTGAAATTTGATGTACTCTTTTAATCAAGAAATGTACAACATGTTTGTTGTGTTAGTCTTCTATATCAAGATAAAGTAATGCTGTGGAATGGAGCTTTCTCTTAGACCCTGCCTTTTGGGCCATTTGCTGGTTTTTTTTTTTGGGTTGGG